TATTAATTCTATACTATTATAGTATGTAATGTTTTGAATTAGCTTTTACTTATATACTTTGTTTAAATTTTAATTTTTAGAAATTTTGTTGTGCTTTTGTCATTATTTAGATTTTTTATATTTCTATTAAGCTTGAAATCATTTGCATTTCAGTTTTAGTTTGAACAATAACCTTACTTTATTTTAGTTAGTTGCCAAGAATTTTTTTTTTTATTTTCTTCTATTGTTATTATTATATTTTAAAACACATATCATAGAACATCTGAAGCAACCTTTTAAACATATGAATAATATTTTTTGTTATTTTAGTATTACTTACATAGTATTATAATATTATATAATACTATTATAATATTTTAAATGAGCTTTTAGTTTGATATTTTCGGTTTTCATTTTAAATATAGTTTAAACTTTAGTAATTTTATGTGCTTGTCATCGTCGTTTTATTAGTTTTTTTTATTAAATTTCTATTCAGCTTTAAATTATTTTTATTTCAGTTTTAGAACATCAGCTTAAACTTATTTTATTTCAGTTAGTTGCCAAGGAAACATTTCTAAACGTTTCACCTAAAAGTTTATTTTATTATTATAGTTTAAACACATATAACACAACAACTGAAGTTACTTAATAAACACGTAATAATAATAATAATTATATTTGTTGCTTTAATATTTGTACACTGTTATAGTATTTAGCAATTCTTTAAATTCGTTTTTAATTTAACAATTAATTTTACTACTTCAACTTATTTTATTTCAGTTAAGTCGTCAAAGCAACAATTTAAAGCTTTAATCTAACACTGTTAATTTATTTCAATTAACAAAAAACAATTTTAATAGTTTTAGTTAATAAAAGGAACACCATAGGACCAAAATTCAAGAACATGATCAGATTAATACAGTTAATTAATATTTTCATTAATATTAATATAATACATTAATATTTTCTCACCAGTGATGATGGACTTAAAGCAACGATTGTGTCCGAGAAATTCACATTCATCTCCTTTCTTGATCATTCCTCGCTCTAGTGTGCCAGTGACCACAGTACCACGACCTGCACACAGGATTCAACCCAATCAAACACACAAACATACAAAAATATTAATTCATTTCAGAGACGAAGCAAAAAAGCACAACTTATCACACAAATACTACATCTGCACTACCTCAAGAAGAAAACACACCTGGAATAGAACAGACTCCCTCTACGGGCAGCAGGAACACTGTTAATTTATTTCAATTAACAAAAAACAATTTTAATAGTTTTAGTTAATAAAAGGAACACCATAGGACCAAAATTCAAGAACATGATCAGATTAATACAGTTAATTAATATTTTCATTAATATTAATATAATACATTAATATTTTCTCACCAGTGATGATGGACTTAAAGCAACGATTGTGTCCGAGAAATTCACATTCATCTCCTTTCTTGATCATTCCTCGCTCTAGTGTGCCAGTGACCACAGTACCACGACCTGCACACAGGATTCAACCCAATCAAACACACAAACATACAAAAATATTAATTCATTTCAGAGACGAAGCAAAAAAGCACAACTTATCACACAAATACTACATCTGCACTACCTCAAGAAGAAAACACACCTGGAATAGAACAGACTCCCTCTACGGGCAGCAGGAATGGTTTATCCAGATCTCTCTTTGGCAAAGGAATATAATTATCTACCACCTCCAAAAGCTTCATAATGGAGTTTACACCCAGCTCCGGCTGTCTGTTCTGAACGCACACAATCATAACAGCAGCACTGAAATTTGTGATTTAACACAGTTCAAAACACATCATTCCAGTCTCTTCACCATTGCCTGTGCATACACATAGATTACAATTTAAACAAACTGTCTCCCGTTTGAATATTTTTTTAATTTAATTTATTTCTGTGATCAAAGCTGAATTTTCAGCATCATTACTCCAGTCTTCAGTGTCACATGATCCTTCAGAAATCATTATAATATGCTGATCTGCTGCTCAGTTCTTAGTAATTATTATTGGTGTTCAATGATTAGTTGTAACAATATTTCAGCATTTTTAGTTTTTCTTTTTCAGGAAACATACTTAAATCACTCCATCTCTATCCTCACCTCTAGAGCACAGAGTGCCGATCCAGTAATAACTGGTGTGTTTTCACCGTCGTAGCCGTACTCTGTGAGCAGCTCTCTGATCTCCAGCTCCACCAGGTCCAGCATCTCCTTGTCCTCCACCACATCGGCTTTATTAACGAACACCACCACGTGCTCCACGCCGATCTGCCGCGCCAGCAGGAGGTGCTCACGCGTCTGTGGCATCTGACCGTCGGTCGCCGCCACCACTAGGATGCAGCCGTCCATCTGCGATGTGCCTGTGATCATGTTCTTCAGACAGAGACATGCATTTATAATACAGATGTAATGATCATGTATATACAAACACACAATAATGTTGGGTCAGTAAGATTTTTTTAATGTTTTAAAGGGGTCCTATTATGCTCTTTTAACAAAGTCTTGATTTTGTTTTGGGGGTGTACTAGAACAGGCTCTCATACTAGGTTGTTCGAAAAACACATTATTTTTCACATATTTTACATTATTACAACACCTCTCTCCCCAGTCTAGCATGAACGGCTCAAATAGTTCCTGTATCAAATGAAGGCCCGCCTTCTGAA